TGTATATGTAAATGTTAACATTATTGTTGGGCTTCCCATTTAGCTTTGCTGCAGTAATTAAATTTACAAAAACCAAAAAAAAAATAAAGAATTAATTATTTACACAGTTTAACAACGGGCGGGCGACTTTAAAACCAATTTATGTAAATGCAAACGCAAATATTTACACAATGCCAAATTGAAATTATTGTTGTGTACATGCATGTATGCGTGTGAAGGTGAGAGTGGGAGAGATGTATTGAGAGCTTGTTACAGCTGCATCCCTCTGACTTGTGAAGCTAACCGCATTCACATCGCTCGGTCAAACCTCGAATACCAACATTCTCGGCCGGGCTACAGAGTGTGAGAGAGAGAGTCAAATAACAAACTGTTTCTCAGGAGCTGCTGCTGGAGCCATTTGTTTACAAGTCCAGAATACATTAATTCTAACTAAAATACTCTTAATTACCAAAGCGACAGAGAAAGTGGGCGGACAGTTTGTGCGTGTGTGTGTGTGTGTGTTGCCATTGGATACCTGAGCCAATTTGTCCATCTGGCTGGCAATTTGTCACTGTTTCCATTATTATTGACACATTTAAGCCATAATTGTCAGAGCATTATTCTCCTAGACAAATTAAAGCCCATCAGTTGATATATAAAGAGTTAAAAATATGTTTATGGCGCAGCCTGTGGCAAATGCCACATTCAGCAAATGTGCATAAATTTATTTTATTTTATTGGCATTTTGCTGTATTTATTTTTATTATATTTAAATATATTTATATATATATATATGTGTATGTAAAGCCCAGCATAAATCATAATGCTAGACAAATAGTTAATATTTGTTAATTCACAATTTGCATATTTATGCATATTTATTAACGCTCCAATAAACTTCTTTTGCATTTAAATTATTTGCAATTTAAATCATTATTTCAACAAATTTCAATAAAATATATCTGCGTGAAGGTGTTGATGGACATGCAGAAATATTTAGCTAATTAAAATTAACAATCTACTGGCCAGTGGAGGCGACCCATTAAGCTGCTGCCACTGCCACTGCCACTGCCCCGCCCACTTTCCACTTGCCACAGCCTACTGCCGCAGCAGCTCCTTAATGTGGACCAGTTGGACAGAAGCGACTGACAATGCCATTTAATTAATTGGAAAAATCAAGAGTTTCAATTACGTGGCTTGAATTGCCAACTCAATGATGGAAATCTATGGGCAAAGAGCATGCATAGAAACTAGCACAGCGAGCGAGTGAGAGAGACAGTGCGAGAGGAAGAGGAAGAGGGGAGGGAAGGAGCGTGAGTAAGAGTCAATAAGGTACTCAGAGATGGCATATGAAATATATTTGCGATTGAAATATTCTTAAGCAAAACATTAAAATGCTAAAAATATGAATTGACTTGAAGAGAAAATATTTAAAATATATATTTGCATTATTTAAAGAAGCTACAAAGTTATTCACAAGAGAAATATAACAAATAGAAGTGATTCATATAAGAATTTGTATTAATGCATATAAGACAACAAATAGATTCATATAAGAATTCTAACTAATACATATAAGAGAGCAAAATAATTGAATTCGAACTACTGCATATATGTATAAGCAGTCAATGTAATTCATATAAGTAAATCATATAAGATTATTAAAATATTTCTAGCTGCTAAACAATAAATATATTTAAAAATTGATATATAAATTTATAAATAGAAATATATATATAAATATATATATATATATATATATATATTTATTTATTATATACATTCTTGATCAGTGTGTGCAGCAGTATTTTGTCAGTATTTTAATTTAGAGCAAAAAATACTTCCAATTGGCACTCGCCAACAGCGCGCGCTTTTGTCTTGCTGCTTCAAGCAAAACCAACTCAAAGAGCGGCTCGAGACTTGAGCTCGACTTTGAGTGGAATTTCCGCTGCCTATATAAAGGCGAGTCAGCTGCAGCGCTCTTCAGTCGCATTTCTGATCTACTGGTGTAAGGTGATGCTGTGCAGTGCTCCTCTTCTTCTTCTTCTTTTTCTGCGTGAGTGTCAAATAATTATATTTTTCATCATTTCAAGTATATTAAGCAAAATTGTATTAGTTTTTATTTATAATTTTAAAGAAATTGCTTAACAATATTTGTAATAATATTTATTATTAAATATGTATATTATTATTATTATTTAATCAACTTAATAGGTTAATCATTATTGTGTTGTGCCAAACATCATTTGCTAAGTAATCATTATGATAATAATTATAATGTTAATGATCATTTGAGTTAAATAAACAGTCATTATGCGAATTATCATTAAGTTAATGATTATTAAGAATCAAATTTAAATAATATTTTTAAATTTATACTATTAATATTTTAAAATAATTTTTTTTATTATTTTTATATTACAATGATCTTTGCAATTAAGTATTTAATTATATAACGGTCAAGTTGAACATGTTAATATATGTTCATGATGATAATGATAATGATAATTAATAATAATATTTTAACTCTTCTTGTAGTCTATAAAAAGGCAGCAAACGATGCTTAAGCTGTAATTGACTATTTATAGTTAATTATGTGTATACAGGTAACATATACAGGTAAGTGCAGGCTTTTGAGCAATGTTAATTATGCCGCGCTTGGATTTAGCTGTTCATCGCTTGAAAACATAAATTGAATATTTGAGAATTCGATTCGATTCGAGTCGATTGCAAATGGCAAATTGATTCACGTTCGATTAGTCGGAGTGCAGAGACGAATGCGACTTGAATGGAAACAAACTATACACACATAGATATATACATGTGTGTGTGTGTGTGTCCTGTCTGTTAATCACTTGTCAGCTGCAGTCGTCCTGGAGTGCATGCAATTACTTAGGATAATTGAATATTCTCACAGGGGTCGCACCTGCGATTAATTAATAACTGCACTTCATCGCGCTGACTGATTGTCTAGCAGGTGTAATAAAAAATGGAAAAGAATTACGCTGACAACACACACACTGGGCGTGGCCAACAGCCTTAGTTGCTAATTAAATGAATGCGAAGCGAATTAACACCAATTTTTATCCATAATCGTCGCTGGGGCGAGGCCAATCGAGGGTGAAATAAATTAAACTGACTCAGAGCAAGTATTCTAACACTTTTTTCATTACTTCTTGTTTATTTGAAAGACCTTTTTCCAACGAAATACCCTGGAGTAAGCGATGCAAAGGTATATTCTCAGCAATACCCAAGCCAGAGCTGCTATAGTTGAAGTCTTATAGAGAGTTCTATATAGACTATACTCCAAGTGAATTAATGTTGATAGACAACATTATGTTCTTCACGATTCAAGCTGCAAGATTTTAGGCACTTTCCAATTATATAAATTTTTATTTAAAAAAAAAAAATTTTTTGGCTTTTAAGATTTTCAACATTTTTCTACTTTTATTCAAACTTACATAACTCAGTCAAAACTTAATCTAAAAAAACCTTAATTTTAATAATTTTTTAAATTTATTTATACAATTTTTGCTCAACTATAAATTTAAATTCTTAGTGTTTTAATATTTTTTATTTTATTAAGTAAAACATGCATTTCAAGTAAAATAATTAAAGTTTCTCATTAAGCTCAAGCCGAAGCCCAGACAAAGCTCAACAGCATTGCAGGGCAACTGCCAGTCTGGTCAATTTGTGTTTATTTGTTTTTTAAGTTTCCTGCATATTTTGGGCAGCTTCACTTGCTGATTGCAAATGCTGGATCGCAGCGAGCACGGAGCAGGGCGGAGCCAGAAAGCGGGGCTATAAATTTATTGCTGAACTTTGAAATACCACGGCCACAGCAGCTACTGCCTCAGCTTGGCTGGCTGACTGTCTGGAGTCGAAGCGTTTTAAAGAAAAACTTCTGCAGCTGTATTTTTCGCAATTATCCTTGAAAATGCTGCAGCAGCAGCAGCAGCCGAAGTTGCAGCAGCGTGTTGAAGGATGCAGCGGAAATTTGCTGTGGGGCTGGCAGTGGAAGTGGCCTGTTGACACAAGCTAAGACCTAAGAGTAAGAGAGGCAGATAGAGAGAGAGAGAGAGAGAAAGCCAGAAGCTGCGAATAATTTATTAGTTGCGTAAAGAAATCATTTATTTGTTGACTTGTCCCACCAGCTGACGGCGGCTGAGAGGAAGGCGTGGCAAATCCACAGTTCAAGCAATACGAAACAGTCGATGGCGGTGCGTGTCTTGGCTACAGTTTGAGTGGCATTGAGTTGTTGATTTACAGGCTGTTTTCGAAAGAGGGGAACTATTGTCGAATTTAGAGTAGAATTTCGTTATTGACTTTTTGGTCAGCTGTTGTCGAAAGAGGGGAAAGAAACTTTAAACATTGTTGAAGCAATTCGAATTCGTATTACGGTTCGTATCTCGACTATAGCAAGATTGTTGAGTTAATAGCTGTTGTCGAAAGCGTAATACTCCAACTACCGAATGAGGTTTGTGTGTCGACTATACTTAAAGCAAGAGTTGCTGAATTAGTAGTTGTTGCACACAAAGGACATCTAAAATCGCTATAGAAGTAAATTAAAACAATGTAAGGTTTTATATTGTATACAGTTTGAGGAGTAGTTATTTAATGATTAACTCGTAGATTATCGAAAGACGATCCGGGCGGCAGCATAAAAGCCGCTTAATTCGAAAATTAGCTGGGTCTATTTCTCAGCTAAAGTTCGAGTATAACTGTAAGTTTTTTCCGAAAAAGAGGAGCAAGTCATTGTTGAAGTAATTCGAGAAAAGGTTTAGGATTCGTGCCTTGGCTACAGTTTGATTTGCAGTTCGAAGAGGAGAGAAAAGGGAGTTCGAAAGCCATGTGGTGCATGTATCGACTAAAGTTTTAGTAGCACTGTGCTGCAGTTAAAACAACTGGGTGATTTTCTTAGCTAAGTTAAGATTTGTGTTTATTAAAAATATATATTTAAGTATATATATATATATATATATATATATATTAAGTACACTTCACATTTACAATATGACGAGAATTGCAACAAGGGTTAAGAGTCCTTAGTGAGCTAAATGCCGCCTGGCCCGGGCTTCAGATTCAGTTGCTCTGCAGCTTAAGCGGGCTTTGCGTTTGATTAGAAATATGTTTCGATTCGGATTACGATTAGCAACTAGGTATAGTTAAATAATAACAGCGGCAGCACCTGGCTTGGTCTGATTACCTATGCCTACGCCCTTCACTTTGTCTTGGCGCTGCGTAAATTCGATGCGGACAGCAGCGAACGCGAGGGCGGAGGACGCTCATCCACTGGGTAGCCGTTGTGGCGTCGATTGGTGGACGATGACGACTCCTGCTTGCGGCCCAGCCGGCTCAGCGTGCTCGCACTGGTGGCGCCATTGTGCGGCGGCGGTTTCCTTGGCAGCGTGGAGATCTGTCAGAGAAGAGTTAGGAATTAGATGGCTTTACAGAGGATCGACCCCAACCAATACCCTTTACACACTGAGTATAAAAGGTCAACCTACGCGCTTGTTCTGCTCCTGCGAATAGTTGATCTCGTAGCCCTCGCTGATGTGCTTGGGCTTCCAGGGCGCCAGCATGGAGACTGAGCGCGAGACGGTGCGCGTCATGGGCTGCAAGGGGGGCTTGCCGCCAGCAGCTCCAGCTGCCGCTGCTCCGCCCTTGCGCAGATCGTCGCGCGACATGGAGCGACGTCGCAGATTATATGGCTGTGGTATGTCGCCCACTGTGGTGGCATGCAAATAAACCACGCTGCGCTGGCTGTGCAAGCTCGACTCGCCCTCTGTGCCGGAGCTCTCCGCCGGATAGCGTTCCCTGGAGAAGAAAAGGTGTTTGAGCAATGGAAATCTCTCCCTCTCTCACACACTCTATATATATCTACATCCATTTCTTTACTTACTTGCCGTAGCCGCCATCGACTGCACTCGTAGTCAGTCCGCGACGTTCGGCACTGCGCGCCGGCTTTGGGGGTCCAAGCAGCGGCCTATCCTCGTAGCGCTTTGGCAGATCGGCTGAACGCTCGAGCGACATGGCACGCTGTGTTGGGCCACGCTTGTGTCGCTCCACTGGCTCCGGCTCCGAGCCGCTCTCCGAGATGTCGTGCAGCTCGCGGGAGCGCGAATAGTGGCGACGCTTGCGGAAGTCCACTTCATCGCTGCCGTGCTCCAGGTGCTGCATCGAGCTGGCGCGCTGCCGTGCTCCGGTCGGTGTCATCGTCGTCGCCGCTGTCGTCGTCGCTGTCGACAGGCTCTGGCGATAGTCGCGCGACGGCGGCGGCGGACTGCGATCCAAGTGATAGGCGCTCTGCGAGTGCTTCGACAGCTGTGGACGGCGTCTGCAAGTGGCAGCAGATCAGAGTTTTGTGTCAATAAAACGGAGCAGAGATCATGCCTCGTTGCACTTACCTCGGCATGCTGCTGGCCTTTGAGATGGTTGGCGGATTCGAGTCCAAGTCGGTGTCACCGAAGAAACGCAAATTCTTGGCTGGGGCGGCGCTGGCATTGCGCTTGCTGCGCTTCAAGCTGGAGCTGGTCTCGCTGTGTCCGTTCACTGAAACATTGAGCTGCAAGCCAGAATCTTGTCAGCGACGGCGATCAAAGAGGAAGTTAGTGCACTTGCCTGCTCCTTGGGATTGCTCTTGGCACGACGATCCAGCGACTTGAACCAGCTGGTCTTCTCCGCCTTGATGGGCGTCGATGATGAGCTGGTGAGCGTTGTCTTCTGCTTGGGCGGCTTCTTCAACAGCAACGGACTAGCTTTCGGCGTGGAGAGCCGTCGGCGCATAGAGATGTCCATAGTCTGCATAGAAGATTTGGTTAAATTTGCAAATTTGCATATCAAGCGGGTCAAAGGTTCGCAGCAGGTTGCCCCAGCTATGTGGAGCAGGTGGCCTTTTGCTTGAGCCTTGTCTTGCCTTGCCTAATGAGTGACTGTGTGGCTTTGCCTGCGGCTTGTGGGGGCGCAACAACAACAACAACAACAACAATGCGAGCTCACGTTGCAAACAAACTTGTTTTGAGACTTTGGCCCAGTTGTGGTTGGTACGATATATATATATACTTAAGCATTTTAGGCAGGTAGCTCTATGGTCTACGAGAGAGTCGAGTGTGCTGCATGCCTGCTCTGCATGTGGCAGGGTATTTATGTTTATTTAATTTGTATGCCTTGAGCCCATGGCGAGTTGCAGCTGTGGGGTATACTGTGCTTATTGCCAGGCATGTAAGAGGCAGAAGTTGCTGTGATCAGTGCTGATCAGAATCAACATCTGTCCATCCCTATATTCGTCTAACTGTCTGCCTAACTGTCCTTCTGTGAGTCCATATGGCTGTTTGTTTGTTTATCCGTCCATGCGCCCGTCCAGCTTTCAGTCTATTCGTCCGTTCGTCCATCCCCCTTTCAATCTATCAGTCCGTCTATCAGCCTTTTTGTCTTGTCTATTCGCCTTCTCCATCTCCATCTCCATTCTCCATCCGCTCGTCAGTCCATCCATCCGTCCTTTCATCCATCTATCTGCTTGTCCGTCCGTTCAATCCTAGCTTGTGCATTTGTCTATCAAATCGCGTAGTTCTTTGTCCGATTTGTCTGTTTTTTCGTTAATCTATTTTTCAGGCCGCCCATATAGCCGTCCATCTAGCCATCCGTCTGTTTATTTGTCTGTGCTTCTATCTATCCGATCGCTTGTCTTTCCGTCCGTCAGTGCATACATCTTTCCGTATGAATCTCTTCAACTTTCAAGTTTGACATTTTCATCTTTGTATATCAGTTCGCTAAATTAGCATTCTATGAAATCCGCTGAAGACTTAATTAAGCAAATCTCCCACCTCCTTCAAGTTAGACTCTTTATATTTGACTTCTAGTTTCTTGTATAATATATACAATTTCGATTTATTTTAAATTTATATTGAATTAATTTTCAATAACTCAAACGTGATATCCATATACCATGGGAATTCGAACTTAAAGAGAAAAACGCATTGCCTGGCTCAGGGTGAGGGTAGCGCTTGGTCGAGCAGCCTCAACTAGATCAGGCTGAGTTGTGTTTTGATTTGTGAGTCCGTAACAAACTAACAAACTAAACTTTGCATTGGAATGTGAACGAAAGGTAAGCCAAGACAGCCAGCAATGCGCTGTGTCGCTTACGCACCCACCGAAGTAAGAGGAAATAAATATCAAATATTCAAATGCCGCCTTAATTTAGTTTATGGCCTCTGAGTCGCAGCCATAAATTAGCGAAGAACATTATTGGCTTTATTTTATTTTTTATTTATTTTGTTTTTATTTTTTATTTTTATTTTTCTTTTTTTTTGGTCATGTAGAATCTTCGAAAATGAATGCCACGGCACTTTATGTGTATTTCTTGTTTAAAACGTTTATTGGGCCGCGATTTTTATGGCCATCGGGCATGAGCATGAATAATAGCCGCATATTGTCCAAATCGTTTACCACTCGAAAGTTTCGCTCGCTGCGGCACGCAAACACTTTTTGACACACACGCAGAGCAAGAGGCAGGGCCACACCTTTTGGCCATTGTATCGAGTGGCAGTGGACGCCCCCGCTTGCCTGCAGGATTTCGGCCTTATCGAACCGAAATTCGCCAAAGAATTTCGCTAATTTGTTTGTCGCTCAGCCAATTGTGTGGTGATGCGTGTCGTTGCAACATCCGCTAGAACGAACTCAGTAGCTTTAGGCCAGTCAGTAACATCCTCTTGGCAAGGTCTGCAAGGCCCACAAATCCGCTCAAGCATTGCAAATTAGCTAAGCAGCAGTGGCAGCAGCGGCAACTGTTGCAGTTGCCCAACTATTGCCAGTAGCCTCAGCCCAGGCAAAAGCGTTTTGCAATATGGCATCTGTGCGCAGCTTTAATCAATTTCTCATACGCCCCGTTGGCCGTCGTCTTGCTGTCAGCTTTCTTGAGCGACAACAGAGCGCGAGAGGTGAGGCCGAGCTGGCCTGAGTTACTGACAGCTGCTGCGTGGGTCTCGCGCTTTTGTTCTAGCTCTAAACGCTAAGCGACGCCTCGTCAGCTTGCGGAATTCTCAACTCTATTTGGCCAACTGTTATTATTGTTGTTAAACACAATTTCAAGCATTCTTTATGGCATGCTACGTCTTGATTTAGACTCGATTTGATTTGCCCCTCAAGAGTGTCGCTCTCCCTCTCCCTCTCTCGCACCGTCTCTCTCTCTTTAAGTGGCCCCCAGCTGACATGACGTCTACTCGAAACGCTGCACCATTTTCGGCTATGCCCAGACGCCCACCTGGACAGCGTCTGTGAGCAGGAAGTAGGCGCCTTAACAAACAGCAAATTTATACAAATCTATAGAAAGAATGGCATAGTTAACAAGGCCAATACGAACTTGAAATACCCTCGCCGAGCAGCTTTAGTGACTATTTGAGGCAGTGCTCAGATTGAAGCTAGTAGAAAGCTTGAGATTTCTATAGGATGATGATGTGTGATCGATCTATGAGCTGCTTAAGATGCTGTCGAGTATAGAAACTCTGCTGCTCTGCTGTTAGTTTTGTCAGAGTTTTTATTTATGGCTCAAACTAGTGGAAGTCGAGCTAGAGTTCTACTTTATATAGCTCCCCTTTCATCCATCTATCTTGACTTACTCTCAATTTGAACATATCTTTAAGGCATGGCAATAGTTCTGTGAACCCAAGCAGTCAATGAGAGGAATATAGATTCAATAGAAATTACTTTAAATTAGTTTTAATCTGACTGAATTCATTTTCAATTCTTATTACCAACAGATATAGATGTTAGTTAAGATATGATACCATTGCAACTACTCAGACTTGAGTTGAGATAGTCAAAGATCAGGAAAGCAATGCAGCATTCCTTCAAGCTAGCCTGACCCATTCAATACAATTATTCGCTGATGAAAATAGAGTCACAACTCAACATCATATGATCAAGGAAACCTGGGCAAACAGCAGCAATTGGCAAGCAAACAGCTCAAGCTTCATCAGTTACTATTTTGCCTTTGCACAGTGAGTTGCTCCTTCACTGTGTCACTTTTCATGTCGTGTATCAAAGACCCTTTCGCATACTCTAACAAATGTAATCAAATTGCAAAAAAAGAGGCAAATTCGCACGTAGTTGGGGGCGACGCAACTGCCGCAAGACTTGATTAATTCGAAATTAATAATAGCCAAACCCATGACCAAAGAGCCGCACACAGCTGACCCATACGCGAGGTTCAACGACCTGTGGAGCAAGCGCCATCATTTGGCCATTAAGAGTCGGACTTACCTTTGGTTCGCGTGAGGTCTCTTCGGTTGATGCTTGATGATGCTCGCGATAGCGTGAACGCATCTCCTCCTCCCGTACCATGTAGCGCTCCTTCTCCTTGTCCTTCTCCAGCCTGGCCCTCTCCTTATCTTTGTCACGGCGGCTCAGCGTGCTGCTGGTGCCATTGGTCAGACGTGACTGTGTGTCTTTCTTGCCGCTGGAGACATTGCTGCCGCTGCTGCGACCGCTGCCGCCGTTGCTGCCACTGCCGCCGTTACCTGTGAACAGCTGCTTCACTTTCTCAAAGCCGCCCAGCTTCTTGTTGCGCTTCAGCGTGCTGGAATCTTCGCGCTGTTTCTGCTGCGATTGCTGCGATTGCTGCTCTCTGCGACGCAAGGTGCTCGTAGACACTGGATACTTGTCCAGATGCGGATCAAAGTGGGAGCCATCGTCTATGGAGCGTTCCCTATACACATAGCTGTGCTCACGACGCAGACGCTGCAGCTCCTGCAGCTGCTGGGCGCTCTCGCGGCGCTCCTTGCGCAAAAAGGACTCGCAAGCCCTCATATCATCAAGGGCCGTGCGCTTGCGCCATCTAAGCGAGGGCAACAAATGGAAGCAATGGATAATGGATGGCTCTAGTGCAACTACAAGTGACCAGCTCAGACTTACCTTGTGGTTAAATCGCCATTGAACGATTCCTTGCGGAAATCATTCTCAATGCCAGAGTCGCCCTTGTCGAAGCTGCGCTGCTGCAGCTTGTCACGCTTGAGGCTGCTCTGCCAATAGTCCTGCAGTCGGCCGCGTTCTGTGCTGCGCAGCTCTGGCGAGGATCTGTACTGATCCGTGCCCACAGTCAGCTGGGAGTCCAGGCTCTTCGGCTCCTGCTCCTCGAGCTCGCGTGGCGAGGAGCCGAGTCTTTCGCGATGCCGCGATTCGCGCACCTGCCCATCCCTTTGGGTCTCGCGCACATAGGTCTCCTTGATGCCACCACTACCATCATCATAGTACTTGGTGTGGCGATAGCGCGAGCTCTTCTCTATCTTCGGCAGTGTGGTACTGTTCTCCAGCTCCAGCTGAACGGGTCGATGATAACGCTCATCGGCAACTAGTTCCCGTTCCCGTTCCCTTTCTCTTTCCCTTTCCCTTTCACGTTCCCTTTCCCTCTCCCTTTCAGGACTGGGATAATCACGGAATCTTTCGCGCTCTTGCTTATAGTTATGCTGACGCTCCAATGTGGCCACCTCGCCGAAGCGACGCGTCAATATGCGATTCTCGAGCTGCGCTCGTCTGTAGCCCAGCTCATCGAGATAGGGCGCTGGACTGACGCTTCTGATAACGGGCACAATAGGTGGTTCCGCGCGTCGTTCCTGCTTGGGTATTTCTTCCTCATAATACAATTTGCGTGTCTCGAAGCCGAGACCTTCATCCTCATCGCTGAGATTGCGTGGACTAAGCTGTTGCCATGGCGATGGCGAATGGGAGCTGGCCAGTCTGGACGGAGTTGCTGCTCCCCCACCTCCATTCTGCATGGGTGAGTAGCTCCTCAAAGGTCGGTCGGTGGCTCTAGGTGGCCTTGGTGGTGGGAATTCGCGTTGCGGTGTACGCGAATCTCGGCCAGAAACACGCTGATGTTGCTGCTGCTGCTGCTGCGGCTCGTCGCTCAGATCAAGCTGGGCGTAGGTGATGCCCTCGTTGGGCCTTATGTAGGAGAAGGCCGGCTGACTAATGACCGGTTGTGGCGAGAAGCGCTCCATGGACAAACGCTTCACCAGGCCATTGACGGTGCGGCCCCTGGTCAGCGGCAAACGCTCCGCTGGCTGCTGTGAACTGTGCATATTTTCGCTAGACTTGGACTTTAATGTCTCAATGCGATCCCGTATGCCAGCGGATATGGATGAACCTGTTGCTGTGCCTGGTGCACCGACTACTGATTGCTTCTTCAACAGCGGCCCGTCCAGCTCCGCTTTGGAACGACTGCGTGAGAGCAGCTCACTCAGACCCTGGCCGCTCTCATGCTTTTCGCGCACAGTAACAGCGTCCGATTTGCGTCGCTCGCGTTCCCGGAAATAGTCCTGCTCAAAGAAGTCCTCCCGCTGCGTCTGCTCGATGATGGGACTCAGCTGCTGCTTGGCCGCTGTACTCGCTGTGTCGTTCTTCTTGCTCACTTTGCTGTTGCGTGAATCCTTTTGAGCGCTGCCAACATCACTTTTGCTGCGTACTAAACGACGGCCTGGCGGTCCGTCCTCGAAGCGTGGATCTCGCTCCAATTGACTAACATTCGTGTCGCTCTTGCGACTGAATAGGCCAAAGATCGAGGGACGTTTGGCTGGTTTCTTGGCTGCTGAGGCGTCGCTCACGCTGCGTGCCACAGGCTTGCCCTTTTTGCGACGCGTGGGCAACGAATGGAAACGCTGCGAATCGCTGTTTGAGCTTTGACGCGGCTTCTGCTTCACACGAAACGTGGGTATATTATCCCCGTTGGCCGCCTTGCTCTGATGCTGGCCGGCCTGTGCGATGACTAGAGCCGCCTCCTTTCGTATGTCCTCCGGATCGATGTCCGGCGGTAGCTGATGGTAGCCCTCTAAGCCAATCGGCGCTAAATCTGTTGTCTCGTAGTCGTACTCAGACGGTTCGTTTGGGCGCTTGGCTGCAAAGCATAAAAGTAAAGTATGAATGGATAAGCTGTGAAGTTTCGTTTAGTAAAGGGTTAAGAGATGAGATAGTATGAACTAAGTAGCAGGCAGAGAGCAGAAAACAGAGAGAGAGAGAGAGATCCTGGATATAAGAATTCTTTCGCTAACAAAGAGAGAGAAATAGGCAGAGAGAGAGGGATTGTTGTTGGAGAAGTCAGGATAGAGCTAGTTCACTTTTAGATAGAGTTGTAGAAGAGCTACATAGTAGAAAGAGAGAGATAGATAAGGAGTTTCCACATCTCTCACATAAGAACTACACAGCTCATATTCAGCGAAAAGGAAGGCGATCTGAAAGTTGTTAACTCTTGATTAAGCAACAAACAGTAAAGCTGCCTATTTAACTCAATTTTTGGGGTAAGAGCTTCAGAAAGCGTAAAGAAAGTTCAGCTAAGCACAAGACTTAACCAGTTAGAGATTCATATTTTCGGAACTGATTCTGAAACAAGGAACAGCATCAATTTCCAGTCTCGAATGCTCTGGTTGGCATTCATGTAATGACAATTAGCACATTAGACGAGAGGTCGGCTGCGCTGGCGATGATGTAATACGAATTTACCAACTAGCCGCAGCTGTTGGGCCAGTCTCAAAGTGTGAATTGGCAACAGCTGCCCCTGCTAAATAAGGCAGCCTGAAACGTTGCCACTAACAATGGATAGAGCGGCATTAGCCCACGTCTCTTGCTCTCCCGCTCCCGCTCCCTCTACCTCTCTCCTTCTCTGCTCGTCTTATGGTACGTGTAGTCTGTAATCGGGCGCTGTAAGCGCTAATGGCCATTGAAGCATCTTAGTTGAGCTGAACGAGGCGCTACTATTCGGTCGCTTCTATTCGAAGAGATCATAAAGATTCTTCAGCCACTTCCTCACTTGTTGTTCATAATCATTATTATTTAATACCCCGAAAACAAAAAACGTGCCGCTCCATCTTCAACAGCAGCCAACATAGCGATCATCATGACCGAATACAAGATTGCGGACCAGCAAACACCACAACCAGAGCAACCCAAAGCAGAAGAGCTCAAAAGCAGAAACGTGCGTGTTCTTTGATAGCTTTTTTAGCTCTTTGTTTCTTTTCTAGTCATTTTTTGTTGTTGCGTTTTGCCTTTTGGTTTTTGTTGTCTCTGTTCATTCTTGCTTTTCTACGGCTCATCAGCTCATCATCAGCTAGGGCCCAGCTGAACGGGAGCAATCACAACATCTTGACAATCAGCACTTGTTAAGCGATAGAACATGCCTTTTACACACACACACAGAGATACACATATATCATTCAACGCTTCTAGTTTGTTGCTTAAGTCATTTGTTTTGCTAGCCTAGCAATTAGGTTGACCTTGTCCTGACTAACTATAATAAAGTAGGCATACATTGTAATTGCTTTTACTAGATCTCTAACTGACTTCTGCCTCGAAAATATGGCTAAGAACTATCAAAGAAAAATATGCGCTCTTGGCCAACAAAACTGAATTTAATTTGTTAATCAAGATGCAGCCAAAGTTTTTATTTAAGTGTTGAGCTGAGATAATTAAGTTGTCTAATTGCACTAAGCCTTTTCACAGATCTGCTTTTTAAAGTCTTCATTTGTTTTTATAATGTCGATTGAGGAGAGGAAATTTGAGGCAGCTAATCTGTTAATTCAAGAGAGCTCTTTGCTTAGATTAAATCGTTAACTTGTTAAAGTCTAATTAGTTAATGAATGCCTAATATTTTTCCATTTTTAATTATACTACAGCAAAACTTAGCATTCAGCTACTGCCAGTTCGTTGCCTGCGTCATTTGTTTTTTTTTATAGCAGCTTAGCAATTGACTGGCTTTGCTTATACAGACTAAAGTAGTATATTTATAGATTAACAATTTATATCTAGGTTTCAAATCTGGTTAAATATTACAAAGGTATTTCCCTATCTACCCAATCAGAAAGCACTTATAACACTGGATGGATTCATAAAACATACGTTCATTATTTTCATTTTTTGTTGCCTACATTTAGCTCATATAGTTTTCTTAATTATGCATTAAGCTGATTTCTAGGTAAATCTATATAATCTCTTGCTCACCATTGGGATTATCGTTCACCTGTAAGCTTGACACAGCTGATTGCATTTTCACAGCCTGTCACATTGGCCGGGCGAATGCCTGTGGCAAACTGATTACGATACACAATGAGCATTGACAAGCTGGGCGTGGCAAGTGTCAAAGCGCCTTCACAACCCATTAAAACAGCCAGCAGTCAAGCGGGAGAAGTTTTCTCAATTGTGTAAAGGAGAAAGAGAGGCGAGACGAGGCGAGCTGCCAAGACTTGGCCAAAATGATGAACGAAACGCAAAATTGTGATTCCGTGATATGTGTCAAGGTAAATTGTAACTATGAAGCGCATACCATACAAGTGTGTACGTACAGTGAAGACCCCAATAAGCGAACATATACGTTTATTGCTGAAGCAGAAGCAGAGTAGATATGAAACGTCTTTCAGAAGGAAATGAAACATTTTCTTACATTCAGTGCAAGCCCGATTGTTCACTCACGGCAGACTTCACTGTAGTTTTATATTGTACGATCGCTCGACATGCGAACTTGAGGTTTACTCAAGGAGCCGCTCGCATGTTCATCAGTTTGCGGTTGTTGTTGTCGTTGTTGTTGCTGTTGAGCTGAATGCATTGCTGTTGCGTTTCTTAGCTTGAGGTGTTTCTGTGGCCGCGTTTTGTGGCTGGGCATTTGGGCAACAGGAAAGCATAAATTGCGACTAAGCGACAGTTGGATAGCACAGCGAGTGAAACTGAAGCTCAAGTCAATGTCAAGTAACAGTAAACGCTCTACAATGCCGCATTCCCCCAGAGAGCTGGGCTGGAGTGCAGCTATGATTGATTGCGAAAGCTCTGCGTCAACAGCAGCAGCAACAGCAACAACACCTGGCACAAAGAGCTGCTGAAAGCCATTCATTAATTTAATCATCGATCCACTTAATGAACTCGAACCAGCGCCCGTCGGGCTCTATGATTTGTGTGTGCCCATGCCGAATGAGTTCTACATGCCTACAGGAATTTGAATACTACAAAAAAAAAATATGGAACACAACAAAACTTTGACGCATTGCGATAAGAAATCTGATCCAATTTTCCGGCCTATTGCAAGCAGTTCACCAAACCAAACCTGCCTCAGCGCCTGTTCCGGTTTTAGTTTCGTTTCGTTTCGTTTTCAATACCCTGAAACTCTAGCAAATGCATAAATAGGGTCTAATGGCTTAATGGAAATGTAGCAGGAGACGTGGCGTATGCTTGATCAGCATTAAGCCTTCTTCATCTGTCTCAGCAAACAAACCTAAGATTTTCATTCACTCTAACTAGAAGCTTCCCTAGTATATAGCTTATACAGTTATGCATTACAGTTAAGCACTAGAACTATCTAAACTATACTCTGTCGCAGCTTTCAGGGTATCTGCTAGTGCGACACTCTCTCCAACAAGTTTTTGCTTGGTTTTTTCGTGATAGCTGCATTTGTTGTTGCACATAATTTGGTTTTCGTGATAGCCAGAAATCACAGCACACTGACCAAGTCCCAGTTCATATTGCTAATAGCAGCCAGTTGTTATTTTGTTGTCGTTTTTGTTGGTTTCATATTTCATGACGCCGACTTTCACTTGGCTAAGTTTATGTATGATGATGGCATGTGCTTGGCTCATTAGGAGCCACGCTTAATGGCATTAGCGTTACGTTTAGGCCAACAAATGATTCATATCAAAACGCGCCCACAACCTGTCATTGAGCTAGATAACAGGCTGTTAGGGCACTGCCTACTGGTCTCTAAGTTCAAGTTTGCGACGTGCGGGCTAATGAAGCAACACCCCATGGCAGCGCGGGACTCGGGATACGAAACGCATGCGAAGGCGAAGGCAGCGACTGCCAAAGATCTTGGCGCTCAGGGCCGTTCGGCGCGCCTTTGGGGCATTTCAATTAACCTGCGCACTTTCAGTTTCGATTGGGTCGGGCCTAGGCCGGGCCGCTTTGCCAACTTTAACTTTATCTAGGCGGGTCCAGCGCATGCACCGCAGCAATTCCAATACTAAACGGCCGCGCACTCATTCCAGAATTGAAATAATTGAATGCCCTTGTGCGCTTATCGTTGTGCCAGAGTGGAAGGGAAAGAGCAGAAGGCAAGCCAGCACCAGCACCAGCAGCACAAGCAGCACCAGCAGTAGAAGAAGCGGCTCCTAATCACATCAAAAGAGCTGTGCCGCATGGACGTCCTTGAAGGCAGTCAGCGAGCCAGGCTCTCCAATGTGACAAGTATGCAAATAAGCTAGCCTATTTTGACATGAGCCTGCACTCAAAAGCCGACTAAAGCAGCATCCTCGCTGAGCCCAATTAAAATATCTTTGAGTTGTTGTTGTTGTTTTAAAATCTCTTGTCGCCGTGACTTTCAAAACAAATACAAATAGAAACTTTCGTTAAAGAATGGACGCGTCTCATTTGCGCACAAAAGACTTAAGCGACAAACTTGTTTTAGCACAGCAGCTGTCAACAGCTACATTAAGTGAGAGCAAATAACAAACACGCACACACACAGAGCGACTGTCTATATAGACGGGCACCTCGAGTGCCGAAAATAAAATATAATCTGAGACTCTTTTTCAATAACACATTTCGATAAACAAATGACGCAATCTTTGCAAATTCAAATCGTAGCAGAACTTTCGAGTTTTGAAGTTGATGTTTGATTGGACCGATGCTCGTTGGCGTTTGGCGTGATTGAGCTGATGATCAATGAGCGACAACTCCATTTACCCAATTCGCAACAATTTATAACCCTCGGCACTCGAGCACTTCACTCAATTCACAATTTAATAACTGCGAACGCGACGACGACAATAACACCCAATGCCAACCGGGCAAAGAACCTGACTGAGCCACAGCAACTCAAGACTCCACACAACAACTGCAGATAGAGAGAGAGACAAAGAGAGA